AAAATAACATTAAATCCAGGATTAATAATCACCACAACAGAATGATTTGGAAAAAATGACTTGAAAGTTCTCTATTCTCTATTTTTTACCAAACTGACGTTAGATATGAAATATTATTATTAGTAACTGTACACAAACCATTCATCACCTCGATACCCATTATAACTGAAGTTATATATAAATATATTTCACATCTAAAAAAGTTGTGAACAGGTGAAGTGTGGATGAACGTCATGTTCTGTCGTCCAAACAGGTCCAGAAGAAATTGGATCAGAACGACAAAGCAGACCCGGAGAAGCAGCCGTCGCTGGGGGAGACCGACTTAAAGCCGCCGGAGGGTGAGGACCATCGTCTGTGTTTTGTGCTGTGGATGGAATTCACGGGACTGACGCTGGAGGCGGGATCTCTTCTGATCTTCTCGTTCTCTGGGATTTTGGTGAAAATGTCGAAAACTCGCAGTGTTACAGGAAGTAGAAGAAATGTAAAAGTTAAAGTGACATTGAATTAATTGTGTTTTTAGCTGTAAACTAAATTATATGACTAATGTGAAAAATCTGCATTTGTGGTTGAACATGGCTCATAACGCCACCTAGTGTTTCAAACTGTCGTGGACCTTTGTTATAATCTACTCCCCAGATGTGGAGACTAACGGTGCCGGTACGTTTGCCGAACACTCCAGCAGCCTGCATGGCGGCAGCGTGGCGGAGGAAGAGCAGGTGATGTTGGCGCCGCAGGTGTCCGTGGTCTCACCGCAGGATTACGGCCGAGCGTCAGGCGCTGCCGCCTACACGGACGAGGACTGCGAGAACAAATGCCACTCCCACTTCCATGACACAGTGGGCCAGGCCGACAGCAAGCACCACCACCACCACGACTACCACCACATCCTGCATCACCATCACTCGCAGAACCACCACCCACACAGCCACTCCCACTCGTACTCAGAGCAGCACTTCCAGCGGGCCGGCGTGGCCTCGCTCGCCTGGATGGTCATCATGGGAGACGGATTGCACAACTTCAGCGACGGCCTGGCTATCGGTGAGTTGGTGTTTCCATCGCGGTGGATATCAGGTGGCAGCTCCGCCACGAGCAGGGACGCTCGCTTTGAGTCTCTGATCTCACCGATGTTTTACCGTGAACTGTTCATGTGGCACTTTTTATAACACGGAGTTTTCTTATCCAGGTTGTGAATCTTCTAAAGAAATATGAACTCAAATATGCCAACGTAGCATTATCAGCTTTTCACCTCGAGATCAATCAGAAACTGATTTCTTCTATTTCCAATGTGTAATTGTATTTATTGTGTTAATGGATGGGCTCGGCCTCTGGTGCTGATCTGCTGCGGAGGCTGCACGCTGCGGCGCTGCTGCCGCCGCCCGCCCTGTCTTTACGTTTAGTTTGGTTTAGCCTCATTCTGAGAAAGGGCGAGAAAAGCTGTGTCCCTATTCAAGAGCTGCATTCACCAGAGGACGCTCTCTCTGCCTGCACCTTTAAGTTGAGTTGATTAAGCTGATCGGACGCCTCGTCGCTGCCCGGCCCCTTGAACCCGGCACAGTGGCAGCAGTGATGACGGTTTGTTTCGTTGTGCAGGGGCTGCGTTCACTGAGGGTCTGTCCAGCGGCCTCAGTACGTCTGTGGCTGTTTTCTGTCACGAGCTACCTCACGAGTTAGGTAAGAACTCTGACCTCCTTTGTTAATGAAACAGTTTGTACTTATTTATATGTGACTGTGTGTTCCAGAAAAATCTCAGTAAAAAGTGGAATCTAATATTTCAAAAGGATGTTTGGAGTTCCAGTAGACAAGATGTCATTTCTCCCAGGTGACTTTGCGGTGCTCCTGAAGGCTGGCATGACGGTGCGTCAGGCCATTCTTTACAACGTGCTGTCAGCCATGATGGGCTACCTGGGCATGGGGACCGGCATCCTGATCGGACATTACGCAGAAAACGTATCCATGTGGATATTCGCTCTGACGGCGGGACTCTTCCTGTACGTGGCTCTGGTGGACATGGTGAGTCGACGCCTGCACCTGAACACACCGCAGACGCCACAGCCAATCGTGAGCGAGCTGCCAGAATGATCGACGTACAGAGGAAACGACTCGTCACTGATCTGTCAGTCGTAACACTCTGAACACAAGATACCTTGAGATTAGTTTTAACATTAACCAGCTGGACTCCTCTGTTCGTTAATCACACACACACTTTTTTTTTTTCAATCCGTTTTTCTATCTGCCCGTTCACGTGGCGTGGACAGGAGCTCGGTGTCGTGTGGTCGTTATCGTTCAGTCAGCAGCGTCTGTTCTGTCGCCTCAACAGGTCTTGACCTAAAGTCTGACTGAGGTCTGAGAACAGCAGCAGCCGTCAGGACCAGATGTCCTCTTCACACACACACACACACACACACACACACACACACACACACACACACACACACACACACACGTGTGGAGTTTATGAAAAACAAACCGAGCAGCGGAGGTGAGTTGTCGGACTCAGCTGCCGCCTGGAAAACACAGCAGAGCTCCAGTTGTCCGATGCTGACCTCCTGTGGCCATGCTCCTACACTGCTGGTAAAACAGACCTGGAGAAATCCGACACAGTCGAGGAGACGGTGACGTGCTTCCTGTCAGACGGTGACGTGCTTCCTGT